GGGCTCAGACAATCCACTCACCTCAGCCTCCCAAAGGCGTGGGATTACAGGCTGAGCCACCGAGCCCAGCTAACCAGCTAATTTTTAAAATTATTGTAGAGACGAGGTCTTGCCAAGTTGCCCAGGCTGGTCTTGAACCCATGGGCTCAGGTAATCCTCTCACCTCCACCTCCTAAAGTGCTGGGATTATAGGCATGAGCCACCACGCCCAGCCTAGAATGATCTTGAGATGTGTCAGATCACATCATCCCTCTGTCAAAGTCCTTCAGTGGTTTCCTATCTTAAAGGCCAAAATATGCTTTATTAAGGTTTCACATGATCTGGAAACAAGGTTCATCCTGACCTCATCTACTGATACTCTGACTCACTTATTTGCTTCCAAACACACTGACTTTGCTATTCCTTGATTCATGCCAGATACACTCCCACCTCAGGACCTTTGGATGGAAAGCTCTTCCTTTGTGTCTGCATGGCTCATTCCTTCACTTTATTCAGTGATACTTTCTCAATGAGGCCATCTTTGGACAGTCTAAATTTAATTTCAGCACCCTTCCACATTTCCTATTTTCTGATTTATATTCCTTGCTACTTACCATTATCTAACATGCTGTATTTTTTTTTGTATCAGTCTCACCTTGTCACCCAGGCTGGAGTGCAGTCACCCTCATGGCCACCGCAGCCTCAACACGCTGGGCTCAGATGATCCTTCCACTTCAGCCTTCCAAGTAGCTGGAACTACAGGTGTGCGCCACCATGTCCGGCTAATTTTCTGATTTATTGTAGAGACAAGGTCTCGCTATGAGGCTCAGGCAATTCTCTTGCCTTGACCTCCCAAAGTGCTAGGATTACAGGCATGAACCACCATGCCTGGCTATGCTATATTTTTAAAATATTGTTTATACCTGAATGTAAGCTCTAAAAGTCAAGCATTTAGCATGTTTTGAACTAAATGAATTTTATTTATTTTATTATTATTATTATTTATTTATTTAGTTTTGAGTTGGAGTCTCACTCTGTCGCCCAGACTGGAGTGCAGTGATCGCTCCCGGCCACCGCAGCCTTGACCTACTGGGCTCCGGCGATCCTTTCACCTCAGCCTTCCGAGTAGCTGGAACTACAGGCACGCACTACCATACCCGGCTGATTTTTTCATTTATTGTAGAGATGAGGTCTCACCAAATTGCCCAGGCGGGTCTCGAACCCGCGGGCTCAGGCAATCCACTCACCTCAGCCTCCCAAAGGCGCGGGATTACAGGCTGAGCCACCGAGCCCGGCTTATTTTATTTTTTGAGTTGGGTCTCCCCTGTCATCCAGGCGGGAATGCAGTAGTGCTCACTGCAGCCTTGAACTCTTGGACTCAAGGGATCCTCCCACCTCAGCCTCCCAAAACGTTGGGATTACAGGTGTGAGCCATCGCCCTTATCCTTTTTTTGGGGGGTGAGTTGGGGTCTCACTCCGGCACCCAAGGTGGAGTGCAGTGGCATGTCCATGGCTCACCACAGCCATGACCTACTGAGCTCAGGCGATCCTCCTGCCTCAGCCTCCCAAGTAACTGTAACTCCCAAGTAATTTGTTGATTCTTTTGTAGGGATGAGGTCTCCCTATGTATGTCTCTAAAAATAAAAAGTTAAAACTAAATGTAATAAGAGTTACCATTTGAAAGATGGAAGGTGAAGCCTCATCGTTAGACAATCTCCTGGACAGTCGGAATCTCAAGAACAGTGTAGACCCAGCTCAGCGGCACCACAAATCTGCTCTGGTTTTTCCTTGTTCTCTCCCTTCCCCCCCACATCCCCTCTCCCATCCCCACCCCAGAGTCATTTTACTTCTCTACCCAAGGCTTTCAGCCAAATATTCTTTCAAGTTTTTTTCTCAGTGGAAGTGGAGGAGTTTTGCATGTGAGAGAGAGGGTTTTAGTTTTCTCTGAGGATAATCTCTACCAATCAAATCCTTTCTCTTGCTAAAATGGATCGTTTTTTGCAACATAGCTTGAATCGATGATTCTGCTAGCAAAGCGTCTATCACTTCTCTTCATCTTCCCGGAGCACCTTCTAGACTGTAACTTGGCATGAGCCTTAAGATGGGGGAGGATGCCAGATGTGGTGGCTCAAGCCTGTAATCCCAGCACTTTGGGAGGTCGAGATGAGAGGATTGCCTGAGTCCAGGGGTTTGAGACCAGCCTGGGCAACTTGGTGAGACCTTGTCTCTACAATAAATCAAAAATTTAGCTGGGCGTGGGAGCGTGTGCTTGTAGTTCCAGCTACTTGGAAGGCTGAGGCGGAAGGATCACCTGAGCCCAGCAGGTCAAGGCTGCAGTGGCCATGAGCGTGCCCCTGCACTC